TGTCTAAATAGAGTGACATAAAGGTTCTACAATTTTTTATAATGGAACATTTAGTTTATAGACTAAAGAAGTCCATTTATGGACTCAAAAGGCTCCAATTTGAGATATTTAAAGTTAATGAGATTGTCACTTAGGAAAAATATTTGTGATCAGTGCATATGTCTAGAGGTTAGTAGGAGCAATGTGTTTTGGGCGCTTTACATTTTGATGATATCAAATTAGCAGCCATTGACATTGACATATTGTTTAAGACAAGCATAATTTCTTGTTAGTTTGGATAAAGAATCTAAGTGTGGCTCCTATTCCGGTTTAGGGATTGAGATTCTTTATGATAGAGGCATATTTGGTTGGTCTCAAAACCTACATTCAATATATATGTGTTGAATAGGTTTGATGTGCACTATTTTTTTCCTAGTAAGATGCCTATTTTGAAAAGGTAACATACTATTAAATTTCAAAGTCCTCATGTTGATAAATGAAAGAGCTCATGCTGAATATTCCATATGCCACAATTATGGGCAGTCTAATCTGTGCTCAAGTCTATACACTTTCTAATGTTGTGTATACTATAAGAGTACTTTGGAAACACCTAAGCAATTCTATATTCAGACATTAGTGATCTGACATTCTAAATTTAGTCAGATATTTAATCTTGATTCTGTATGCTGTTAAAAGCCAATTTCGATAATTTGGCTAGAATAGTTGATTCTAGAAAAATGAGAAATGAAAACTTACAATGCCTTTGATAATAAAGGTAAAGCTTGTAGCATGTAGTAGAGCTACATGTCTGATTGTTGACTACAAAATCTCATCTTAAGACTAGATTCTAGGTTTTTCATTCTAAAGTTATTAGAGATGTTTTGTGGTAAATCTGCAGTAGTGGCTTTTTCTCAAATATTAGGAGTTATTTATACTTTATATATTAGATATCATCATTCAGTATATTAAAGAAAAAGTAATGCAATCCATTATTGGTGTAAATAGTAGAGCACATAATCTACAAAAGCTTATGCTAGTGTAACTATTAACTAATTTTAGCTACTAAAGTGTCCTAATGATAGGCACTTATTCAGGACTTGTAGAGCCTTCTCCTGTATTGAGTTAGAAGGAGCTTTTGTAATTGAAATCATTGCAACTGTGATGGATGGGTTCTTATTTGCCATACGTATATTCCTTTTGCATGCATTCTGTTATGTATAGCATTTCATTGGATGAGACGTTCTGGTTTAGTCTTATGTGCTTTTTCCCAAGCAACGTTTCATTAAGTTTAGATATGAAGGACATGATGGAAATGGATATTAAATATATTTTCATATCATTTTTATTTCACATTATCATACTACTAGTCTTAAAGTATTTATGAATTTGTGTATACGTATTCTATTAGTACGGTCATTCTAGGGGCTAATAAATGCTTGTTGTTATTCTGTTGTTACTGCTATTAAAGTATTCATAAGTCTACATACATGTATCCTATTGATATAATGCATTTTAAAGCTTATGATACTTTTTGGTTGAAAGAGTATACAAGTCCACACATTGGTACCATATCAGTACAATGTATTTTGGGACTTATAAATGCTCATTCGTTTATATGATGATTTGGGTGTATACTCATATTGATATTTTTTGTTTATGGCCATTCTATTAATTTGGATTCATGTTGAATGACTTGTGTAGTCCAAGTGGAAGATAGTTGTATTTATCTCATATTGGTGGACTAACAAAATTATTATATATCGGATTATATTAATTTATGTCAATTAATGAGTAATTACTCTGGTACCATATTATAATATATCTAAATAGTAGTATGATTATTCTTAAGTGTGATTTCGGTTTAATTTTATATTAAGACTCATAATAAGATAGGTCAAATTTGAAGGTCAAATTTGATTAAGATGTTAGGGAAGGTCTCCACCTTTATATAAACAAGACTAACCTATTGAATTTCATAACGTTTAGAGAAATAAAAAGCAGATATCTCTTTTTTGGCTTCGCAGGTCTCTGATCGGACTCCAAAGGCAGGCATCGGAAAGCTCAATAGGCCGACATCATTCTATGGATCTTGGATTAAGCGAGATTGAACTCTCACCCCCATTCATACCAATTTTAGTTTTTGTTAAAATGTATTAGTGATCCTGTAAACTTTTAAGCTGAATCCAACACATTTTTCAACTAGTCAAACAGAGGAAGTTGAAGAGTTATCTAAAGCAGGATTAAGGAATCCAGCGCGGGTTGAAGTTAGAGCTGAGATGAAGTCACTAAACAATTCAGCTTCATCAATTTGTTGCCTATCTACCCTGTTCTAGTCGCTAAGGATGGGTTGTTATTTAGGGATAAATATTGTGAGAAACATAGAGAAAAACCGAGAAGCCCAAGAAAGCCTCCAATCCTGCAATCCCTGTCACGAGGAAGAAAACAGCCAGACAGAGATGTGCTACCCAAACAATTGAAGATGATGAGGAGTTGACCCGGGAATACCGTCTATTGAAGCAACTGAAAAAGGGGGGCTATTGATGAGAGCAAATTTGCGAAGTTTAAAGGAACTGAAGCTATACTTTAAAACATGTGACGGTTTTGACTTTGCACTGTTTAGGTTTGAATACATAGGCCTGGGCTCCAAGTGTTTTTTTTTTTTTTTCCTAAAGGTTAGGGATGAATCTTAACTCGTTTTTCGGGAAGAGTTGGAACTCTCAACTGATATTGCTGGTGACAGCAACAGTTCTCGAACAATGACTGACTATTAAGCTTTAGGATTGAAGATTTCATCAATCATGCATATTGGCTTTCTTCAGTCAGTCATTAAGCATTATACTGTTGTAAGGAAGGGGCACCAACCTAAATCATAATATTTCTATATTTGATTTTAGTGTGTTAGCTATTAAAATAAATGCAATTTTGAACCGGGGATAATTCTTCTATTCAGACTTAGGTTCTGAAAATTGGGTCTTTAGAAGTTACATGGGAGTCATTCCTGCACATCGAGAACTTCCCATTTAATTTCTTCAAAGACTGAAGAAGATGATAATAGTAACAAGTAAATGTAAATGCATCGAGCAAAATCTCCTCTACTTTTGCCTACCAAAAATTACTGTTCTGCCGTGAATAAAACGGTTATCCAAGTCAGGTCTGCATAAATCTTTTCCACGAAGGTGCCTTTAACATCAATATGAAGCTACCGTTAATCAAGGATTGCTTGAGCATTGGATATCCCAACGACTAACATGCCATTGGCCGAAAGGAGGACAATTATTCCAATGAAGCAAATAAAAGCTCGACATATCTTATTCAAATCTATGTATATTTCATTGGAGACTGGAGAATGTCACAAAATTTTATTTAAATAATTAAGAAATAAAAAACTGACCTTGGCCTAAATCAATGGGATATTATATATTAAAATATCTAATTCAAAATGAAAACGAAAATTCTAAACACAAATATAATTGTAGATATTCAAAATAAAAAAAAAATTTAATAGTAACAGGTCTAAAGTTTAAATTCTAATTAATTAATTTTTTATTTTCAAATTACAATTTTTTTATATGAAGTCCATTGAAAAAAAAATGAGCTTTTAAAATATTTAAAAAGATATCAAATTTAGAATGTTGGAAAGAGCTTAGATTTAGGTAAATTTTAAAAATACAAAAAATTTATTTAATAAAAAAATTCTTAAATCAATACACTTCTGTATTTTAAAAATTCTTAAAGGATTTGAAAGTGTCAACTGTCTTGGATTTTGTTAGATTTTTTAACTGGGTTAAAAAATTTTTATCTTTGAAATAACCTATTGCTGATTGAGACTGTTACTATTTGTTATTTATAATTTTACTCATCCAACAAGCTTCTTTCTGCATTTCTATAATATTGTCAACATTTACTATTCATTTCAAAAAATACAAAAACGGGGATATGAAATATTCACACATCTTTATTGATGAGAAAAATGGGTTCCCTGGAAGAAACTTAAATAATTATAAAACTTAAAATACCGAGTTACTCTCTCGATTCTAATTTTTTTTGTTAATTTTTTTTTGACGTTTTAAATTATATATTTTTAAATATTTAAAATATTTATTTTTTTATATTTTAAAATTATTTTTTTTTTTTTTTTATGTTAAAAATCCTAAAATTTTAATTTTAATATTAAATATACTAAACTAAAAAAATCTTCTTTAAATTTAATAAAAATTAATATAATTCAAATATTTTGAGAAAAAAATAAAAAAAGGGCAAGAAAGAAAAGGCATATATTTATCCATATTTAAAGGTGTAAATGATATATTAGTTTTCATAAATTATTGGAGTTCTATTCGAATAAAATTTAAATTCGACTCAATTATTATCAAGTCAAATTCGAGTTTGAATAATTTAATTTATTGATCGAATTGAGTTCAAATATTTTTATACTCAACTTGAATTATTCACAAGCTTAATCGAATTTTTATATTTTAATATATTTTAATTATTTTAATTAATAAAATATCTTGAACTCAATTTTGAGATTGAATACAAATAATCAAATTTTTATCGAATATAAAAATCGAACTTATTTTTATATATTAATTAAATTTAATCAAGCGAACTTAAATAATTTAATTTTTATCTCGAGTCGAACTCGAATTAAAATAATAAAATTCAATCGAATTCAAAATAAATTTTGAATTTTAAATTTAAAGTCAAACTCAAACTCAAATTTAACTCAAATTTAATATTACATCAATTTAAATTTGATTGATTTCATTTCTATGCGAATCTTCGTAAAAAAAAAAAAAAATCATCTTCACGTTTACAAAATCCTTTTTCATTGGGTCAAGCTCCCTTTCATTATTTTTTTATCAATTATTATTTCATACAACTTTAATCATTGTTTATGAATACGACCTTTTAACAAATTTGGAGTGAGTTGTATGCATGTGAGCAATGGATAAAAAAATGGAGAAATCCTACCCTTTTCCCACGCGATTGACAATGTCCTAGACAGGACTAAAACGACCAAAAACTTGAAAATAGCTGACATTGAACAGCCGCTCCTACCTTCCAAGTAGCTTCCAATTTCTCTGACCAAAAACGATCAATCTCGTACTGTCAGTTTCTCCGTCCCTCTATGACCCGCTAAACTCTCCTATCTCTCTACAATTTCCTCAACCTAAGGCTCAAAATCATCAAAAAAAAAAAAAAAAGAGAAAAAGAAAAACTCCTCCCAAACACCATGTCCAACCAATACGACGATGAAAAATCCGATACCCCCCCACCCTTTGATCCATCAACGCCGTCCATTCCCATCTCCTACCCGATCAAGACCCTTGAAGACCTTGACTCTGGTTCTTACTTCACTTCTTTTCACTATCCTTTTAATAAATCCACTGTTCCTCTCCAACAGCCCAATCCAGCTTTGGCTCAAAGGCCTAGGATGTTGGTTTGCCATGACATGCAAGGTGGTTACTTGGATGATAAGTGGGTCCAGGGCGGCGATAATTCCAGTGCTTATGCCATCTGGCACTGGTATTTGATCGATATTTTTGTTTATTTTTCCCATAATTTGGTCACCTTGCCTCCTCCTTGTTGGACCAATGCTGCTCATAGGCATGGAGTTAAGGTTAGTTAGCTAATACTATAGCATGCAAAACTTTTCTTTTTCTAATTGAAAAGCGGAGAATGATGATTTATTTTATATAAAAGTGTTTAATTTGGTTTATTTCAAGTAGAAAAATAGTCGCTTCAACTGAATCAACCGATAAAGCCAGGGGGGGTTTTCAATTTATGATTTTTCTTTAGATATATCATATATATAGATTGTTTGTATCGTTTAAGTCGAGAAATGGGTTTAGGTATAAATCATTTTCCTTTTTTAAAAATGATCAAACATCTTTACATTCATTGGGTTTTAAACAGAAAACTACTTAACTATAACTGTTCTTTTTTTGGAAAAAAAATTTTCTTATAATCTTTTCCTTTTTTTTGGCTCAGTGCTTTATGAACTACCAAAACGACCGTACATTTTTAATGATTTGATGAAAAACACAATCTTTTCTTTTTGCTAAATCAGAAACGGTTTCTGTTTCTTTTCGATTGTAGCTGGTGTATTATGTTAATCCAATGCGTGGCGAAAGTCTGTTTCGTTTTCTTTGGATTATGGTATGTTAGAGACTAAAGGAAGCTTAATATATGTTTTTTACCGTGGTTGTGAAATTTAAGGTATTGGGGACATTCATCACAGAATGGGATGAAGGGAAAGCAATTTGCAACAAACTGCTCTCAACAAAGGAGTCTGCTCATAATTATGCTGAACGCTTGGCAGACCTTGCGGTTGCTTTGGGCTTTGATGGATGGCTGGTATATGCTACTCATTACATATCAAGCTTTAATATGTTAAATTTTTTGGACAAGAAAAGATAACATGTAGAGAACGTGTGATGCCGTTTTGGAGGAAGAATGGCAATTACAAATATCAAATAAATGTTTTTCCTTCTGTTAATATAATGTATGTAAGTTCCATATTTGGCACCCCCTTTTCTACAATTAACTAGGAACGCTTACTTTCAGCTCAATATGGAAGTTCAACTGGATGTCGGGCAAATCCCTAATCTGAAAGAATTTGTTAGCCATTTAACTCAGACTATGCACTCCTCACTTCCTGGATCTTTGGTTATATGGTTTGTAAAAAGAAACCATACCTGAATTATGCACTATATTGAAGTGTATTAAATTCTTGTCTGATAAATGTTGTTCGTTACACAGGTATGATAGTGTTACAATTGGTGGAAATCTTAGTTGGCAAAATCAATTGAATGAAAAGAATAAACCTTTCTTTGATATTAGTGATGGAATCTTCGTTAACTATTCATGGGAGGTATTGCCTTTAAATTTATCGTCCATCTCAAACCTAAGTTCATCTTTTGTTGTATACATAAAAACTATCATGTACCTTGCAGGAGGACTATCCAAAGCTTTCAGCAACAGTCGCTGGTGATAGAAAGTTTGATGTCTACATGGGAATTGATGTATTTGGAAGGGGAACTTATGGTGGTGGGCAATGGACTGTATGTTTCTAACTAAATGAGCTCTTTGCTTGTTAGACATATACTGAACCTGAGAGTGAAATAATGATGAAAATCACCAGGAATGTATATACTTTCATAAATCCAAGCTGCAGTAGAAGATCAGACAATTACTATTGTTAGTTTCTTGTGTTAATTTTCCTTTGATTTTGACTGATTGAAACCATAACAATTCTTTCCATGACAGACAAACATTGCACTTGGTGCGATAAAGAAGGATAATGTTTCAGCTGCCCTATTTGCTCCTGGATGGGTTTATGAAACAAAACAACCCCCTGATTTTCAGACTGCTCAAAACCGGTAACGGACTTATTTCTTTGCCGATTACTGTTGTTATAGAGAGCTTATTTATTTTGGTTAGATGTCTGATCTTCCCTTTGTGTGATACTTTGATCCTATTCAGATTTCAGGTTGATTTTCCACTCCATGCATGAAATTAAAGTCAGTGACTGGTGATTAAAGAGTAGTATTTATATCTGAGTTACTGACATGTATGCAGTTTGATATGTTGCAATTACTACAAAATGCAGTTCTTTGCTTAGTGTCATTTATTACTTGCTTTATTGTCTTTGTGACATGGACCAGGCCGGTTCCTCTGCTTAGTGAAAAGGGAAAAGTAACCAGAATTACATACAGCTGGCTAATGCATTTTCTATCTAAAGAACAGTACTTTTGTTTGCAAAATTGCTTAAGTTAATTTTTTTCCTTTATTATTGTAGTGATAGATTCTTCAGGATTTTCTTCTTTGTACTTAAAATGTTATATGGATTTTGTGGAATCATTAACTTCCCTCCTATCACGTAAATTTCTTAATATTATGACTACTCTCTAATTTCAACTAATTTAGTCATTTACTCATCCTTTTAAGTCAATTCTTCTTGTTGCAATATGATATATTTGTATTTATAATTGTGCTTTGATCATATGATATCATAATTTTTACAATTCTTTCCTTATTTAAACCTTTTCAATGAGCTTCATTACAAACAATTTGGCTTTTGCAGTTGGTGGGCTCTTGTTGAGCAATCATGGGGAATTGTACAAAAGTATCCTCGAGTACTACCATTCTATTCAAATTTTGATCAGGTTGACGCTATCAAATTCTTTGTTCTTTTCTTATGCGTTTTCAAAATTAGAGGGCATGTAAAAGTTACTGCAAAATAATCAATTCATTAGCTAACCGGATTCCTTGGGCACATATGCATCTATTGTTCAGGGCCATGGTAATCATATTTCCATCGATGGAGCCCAAGTATTAAGCACTCAATGGAATAACATTTCTTCACAAACCTTTCAGGCAGGGACTACATGGATATATTTTGTTTCTTTCACTTGTCGGTTTTACTTAATGTTGCTTATTTCTAGAGGAAAATTTAAATGCTTCCATGTTATTTTACCTTCTTGTTTCAGCCTTTCCTTGAGTATGCTGATGGTCCTACTTCAAATAATATTGAAGTCCATGTTAAGTAAGTTTGCATGAGTCATTGTACTTGATATGTTTCAGTCATATGTATAATGTTCACAGGTCTAAGAATTGGTTGCTAAAATGGCAGCTTTAAGGAAGCATCTTTTAGCGGAGGAGGAAACCTCACATTTAAAGGAACTCTTGAAGCCGATGCTTATGTCTCTACCAGACTCTTTTTAGGAGAGCTTCTTATGGGTGGCTTACCCGTTCATTTCACATATTCTGTAAGCTATCTCGACTAAGTGTCTTCTATTGCAACCAAATATTCCCAAAATTTAATATTGTTGAGTCCAGATGGGATTTGGAAATCAAACCATGGGACATTTTGCACTTTCAATGAGAATGTGAGCGCTAACAGTAGCATGTGATATATTTCAATCTATTTTTCTTTCAGTATTAGCTGGTTTATCTGAATGCCACAACTTGCTGCAGGTAAAATCAGAAGGTAACTCTCGAGTGGGCCTTTCTCTTGAATTCTCTTCTGAAATGAAAGGGAAAAAGAGGTTGCTTCTTGCATCCCATGAAATGAACAAATTCTCAAGCAAATTTAGTGAAGTGATTGTGCCACGTCAACTTACAAAACAGGAGGTGGCTCCAGGATGGGTTATACTGGAGAGTAGCATTGCAATGAACGGATACACATTAACAGAAATTCATGCGGTATGCTACAGGCAACAGCCTGAAAATAGTGTACTTAGATCAGCAGCTAGATCAAATAACCAGGATCCAGCGGAATATTTTGCCGTGCTTGGCCATATTAGAATTTCAACTGCTGACCAGAATACAGAATTTCCTCCATCAACTTCCTGGATCGTTGAGGGTCAAGATGTTGAATGGGGAGGTTCTCAAGGTTCCCAAACCCTTAGTCTTAAGCTCAGCTGGAAACTGAAAGATGGAAAGAATTCTCTTTTCCCAGGTTACAATATCTACGTTGAGAAACTAACTAAACAATGGGTCAGAGCTCTAGGAAGAAGGCTAGAAGGCGTACGGGATTACATTGGAGTGGCACACGTAGAAGCCTTCTATTTATCTGGCCTTGTCATCCCTTCTGGCACTTCTAGCCTCAAATTTATTATTCAAGTGTGTGATGGTAATGGTACTAGCCAAAAGCTTGATGATGCTCCATTTTTTCAACTCAATGTTGAAGGTCAATGAACATTATTGCTTTCGTCGCTTTGCATTAGTTCTGGGCAAGAAAAACATTGGTCGCTAGGAAATGGAAGCTACTGTATCATGACAATAAACTGGAAATAAACTGTCAACACTATTAAATTTGAACCTTTACATGCCAGTATTGACTTATGGCGATTAAAATGTCTCCTATATGACATTATTAGACTGTTCGGGCTGTTTGGTTGCATTGCAAGGATCTTGTCGTTTTGTTTGCATTTATATCTTCTTTACTTGATTAGTTTCTACCTAGTAAGTGGTTATGTTGCTTCCCAGTTGACGAATTCCATTTATAAAAAGAGGCTCCACTAAAATGAATCATTGTTTATACACCAGAGGAAGATAGCGTCTCATTTAACATGTTAAAGATTTCATGAGAAAAAAGATATAAACTAAAAATGGAATATTCTATCTAGTTCTTCTTAAGGCCAAAATATCAGCTGAATTCTTAATTTATTTTTAAATTTATCTGTATAGATGTATCCAAAAAAAATTTTATATTTTGGATTTATTGATCGGTCGATCTTAAGATAAATATCTGAGTTTAAGACAATTTTTTGAGTCTTGGATCAACTTCGATTTACATTAAATTATTAATAAAAATATTTTTAATTAAATTTTAATTTAAAAATATTAATATTTTAATTTTTAATTTTGAATATTTAGAGTCCAACGAGTCAAGTCAGACCTAGGGTAAAACCTTTAGAAAAGTTGATCCAGTTTCATTCGACTCAGTCCGGTCATGATTAAGTACTTTATCTACTTAAAAAATATTTATAAAGTTCTTATTCATCGAACACTTTTCTTTAAGAAATATAAAATATGTGAAATATTTTGTTTTTAGAAAGGTTGATAAGGAAAAACAAAAATAGAATAACTTTTTTTTTTTTTCTGAAGGGAATGATAGATTCTTTTTAATACTAAAATACTATACTTTAGAGACCACTGTACGAAATAAGTACGCGTAAAATTTTGTCAAAAATGGCGGTGGGGTGATCGAATTGACCTCGCCCTTGAAATATCTCCTCTCCGGGAAAACAAATCGGTGGTTTCGACCAGCTTGTTCCCTTGTGGGGTTCAACTTATCTCTACGTCTTTGAAAGGTGCAAATACGAACTGATAACCACCAAGTTGTTAGCTACTTGAATTAATCAAAGTAATCCAAAAATTTTTTAATTAATCACCAATTTTCTCCTTTGAGCCAATATGATGAGCTTGTTTGAGATTTCACTAGCCCTTTGCTTTCTAGTCATAGCTCTGGACGTGTTTCGAGTTGGTTTCCAAGATTTACCCCAAGACTACCTAGACACTCACAACGCTGCTCGTAAAGAGGTCGGTGTTCCGCCCCTGACTTGGGACAATGTGTTGGAGGCCTATGCACTGAATTACTCTCAACGAAGGATTGATAATTGCATTCCGGTGCGTATGTCACGGATTTAAGGAAGAATTTCGAATCTCACATCGAACATAATAGGAAGATCATTGAGATATAAAAGGGTTCACATTATTTTTGCTTTGTGAATTATCTTTTGTAAGATAAAATCGTGAGGTTAGAGGATCAAAATCAATATATCTTATAACGGTGTGAACCATGACGGTTAGGTTGATCTGAAATGCCGAAAGAATAAATACTCGGGTCTCGAAGTCGCGCGAGTTCGGAGCTTAAGTGTCGACTCATGACAAGTGATATTAAAGTCAGTCCTAAATCGTTCACTGTTAAGCTGATCTGAAACGCAGGAAGGGTGAATATTCGGGTCCCGAAATCGCGCGGATTCGGAGCTTAAGTGTCAACCCATGACAAGTGGTATCAAAACCAGCCATAAACCGTTCGATCCACGTCAAGCACCTCGAGAGAGATAAAGACATAACAAGATTGGATGCGAGAGAATGTCACGAATTTAAGGAAGAGTTTTGAATCTCACGTATCACGAGGTTGGATGGGTGCGAAAGAATATCACAAACTTAAAAAAGAGTAATGAATGTCCAGATTTTAAAGTCGCACGGATTCGAAGCAAGTCTCGACCTGTGATATGTGCAATAAGCCCTTCGGGTCTGAATCTTGCTTGGAGCAGCACTGTTCTTTCAGGGACTGGTGCTGTGAAACTTTGGAGTGATGAAAAGATGGATTACGACTTGGAATCTGGTTTTGTGCTTTAGGCCGCGTTTGCAACCATTGCACTCAGGTGATTTGGATTAATTCAACTCAACTTGGATGTGCTAAAGTTAGATGCAATAATAATGGAACTTTCATTGCTTGTTACTATTACCCTCCTGGTAAGATTCCTGGGAAGTGTCCAACTGATGGGATTGAATCCCTTTCGGGAGCAGTCACTCCCAGCCCTCATAATCAATCCCCTGATATTTTTCCTCCGAAAAACAGGACAGGGTTAGTGATTGGGTTGAGTATAGTAGGAGCATCTGCATTGACTTTTGGCCTAGGTCTCGTGACTTGGTTCATTTCAAGACGAAAAAGGAAGACAGAAAATGAATTTGACGATTATGTTTTTGATATGTACTTTGGCGATGAATTTGGGAATGGAATGGGACCAAGGAAGTTTTCATTGAATGTATTGGCTAAAGTGACTAGTAACTTCAACACTGAAAACAAGTCGGGAGACGGAGGGTTTGGCACGGTTTTTAGAGGATACCTGAGGGACTTGGATACCTTTACTGCTGTTAAAAGGGTTTCAAGGGCATCTAAGCAAGGGATTAAGGAATACTCATCTAGGGTGAAGATAATTAGCCGATTGAGGCATAAGACTTTTGGTGAAACTCATTGGTTGGTGCCATGAAAGAGGGGAACTCATGCTAGTTTATGAGTTCAAGGCTAATGGCAGTCTAGATTCCCATCTTTTCAAAAGAAATAACCTATTGACTTGGGAAGTGAGATATAAAATTCTACAAGACTTGGCATCAGCATTTCTACATTTACTTTAAGAAGGAGATTGCTGTGTGCTTACACAGGGATATCAAAACTAACAACATTATGTTGGATTCTAGCTTCAATGCTAAACTTGGTGATTTCGGATTAGCCAGGCTAGTTGATCATACAAAAGGGTTAAAAAGTACTCTTTTGGCAGGAACTGTGGGCTACATGGCTCCCGAATGTCTGTCTTCAGGGAAGGCTAGCAAGGAATCAGATGTCTATAGTTTTGGAGTTGGGGCATTGGAAATTGCATGTGGTAGAAGGTCAGTTGAACCCAAATTTGAGGAGTCTGAGACTTTATTAATACGTTGGGTGTGGAAATCGTATGGAAATGAAAGGATTCTTGATGTAGCAGACAAGAAATTGGGTAACGCCTTCGACCCTAAACAGAAGGACTGTCTAGTAATTGTCGGACTGTGGTGCGCCCATCCAAGTCACGATCTAAGACCATCAATAAGGCAAGTTATTCAAGTTCTTCATTTTTAGGCACCATTGCTAAATCTTCCAGGTAACATGCCTATTTCCAATTATAATGTAACTACTGCTGGAATTGGATCACCCGAGCCATATATCTAATGTGATTCTCACTATCCCTCGTTAGATTTATCTGGTAGCTTTTCTATCAAATTTACATGTCACAAATTATTTTCCCTTTCTAAGAGAGTTTGTGGCAAATTTTTATGCAATAATATTGGTGTATAGATTGACTCTTCCTGATCTCTTCTCAAAAAAATGTGTCCTTTGTGAATCAATATTTTTGGTTAGCTTCAATTGACAGAGGCTTAACAGGTTAATTGTGGCGGTTGTAGGGTAAAATCTATTCCTTTATATAACATTTTTTGCCAAGCTGAATGGTTCAAAGCTTGAGCCTGGCTCAGCTAGCTTCAATTGACAGAGGCCATATTCAGTATGCATTTTAAAAGGTTAAGTTTTAGGTTAGTGTAGTAGACAAATATTTCAATTAGATCATTTGGCAGTTTTTGTGTACATTATTTGGACAGATTATTTGTGTTCCTCGCAACTTAATTCAGATCTTTTTGGTCAGGAAATTTGTAAGGCTTGATCGTTAATAAGAATGTACTAATAACAGAAAAATTAGTACACAGAATTGAAGAAGAAAGAAAAATAAGAATTGGGCCAAAAATGTTTATTGAGGACCAAGCTTATCGAAGTTGAGCTACGGATTTATAAGAAAGGCCTCATCAAGCCCAATATTAGCGAAACTAAGCCCAGTAGTTAGAATTTTGGGTGTTCTTCGCTATTAGCCGCTAAACAATCATAACCTCAACGCAATAGCCAGTGTAGCTGGACCTTACCAGCACGGTGCATCTTGATATGGCCCAGATTCAGCCCAAATTGAAAGAGAGGCCGATGAGTAAAAGCAATCATATCGACTTTTATGGGGTCGCTATTGGATAAAGGATCCAATTATGGAACTGGAGCGTTAGTTAAGAAATTGTACATCTATAAAATGAGAAGAAATCGGGGGTCGGAATCACTGAACATTATGGCTTGCATTGCCTTGGACAAGAGCATGTATAAATGAGAAAAAATTGGAGAATCTTGGTCGCCGGGCCTTGGCCAATGAATTTCTTCAACACAGTCGTGATATTAGAGCAGGCAGTCCATTGCATAATTTTTTTGGTCGAAGTCCATTGCATATTTTGAAACTTGATAGCTGGGAAATCGCGAGTGATGAACCATAATCTTTGGCAGGAATTAAAAGTCCCAAACTTCCAATGTTCATCATAAGGGAATTAATGGTGAGAAGTTCAAATGAACCACATGCATTGCAAGTTTCCCTTTTGGTCCAAATCGTCTTCAGACAATACCGTTTTGAGTGAATACCAACAAGCCAGAATTTCCTGGTTGTTGATTTCTGTGTAGAAGCTGGCTAACTCCTAGTTATGGTAATAGCAGTAGCCGCCAGCTAGTTTGATAATGTTGGCGGAGACATAGTCTCATGAAAAAGAATCACTCCTTTTGAGATTCTTATATAGAACAAGCCAATGCAAGATTAGATCCAGTTGAGCTAAGTAATGAGTAATGGGGGCAAAGTTCTCTAATTGGACTGACTAGTGACTAGTGCACTTGATGAAAGGTCGTTTTAAATTGTAAAATGCAGCAATTTGCTTTTCTAAATCGTACATCCATTTAGATTAACTACAAAGAGAATTAATTCTGTACTCAACCTTTGTCTCGAATACTACTTCTCATCTTTCCATGAAGACGATTAAGACTGTACTTTTTTATCCCGGCCAAAGACTCAATTCCTCGATGAATTTCAATGCACTGGCCTAGACATTCCTTTTGGTACTTCAAGTCTCGAAATTCATTGTTGAAGTTTGTGGTGCTGAAGGTGCTTGCCAGAAGCTAAATGATCCATTTATAACTTTTCTTCAGCTAGACTTGGATGTTCAAGTAAAAAAAATTCGTTTTCTTCAAATCGTCGATGAAGTTTTTAAACTCTCTAATTCTTCTTAACTCATTGGTGGAATTAGATATATTATGATTAAGATAATTTTCCCAAATAAAATGTTATTTTACTGAATCTATTTGTCCATCTATGCTTTCAAGTTATTTTATTTGGGTTATTAATCATGAAATAAAATGCCAATAATAGAATAAAAAACCTTTAACACAATTGGAAAACTTGTTTAATGGAACCCTGTAGCAGAACCAAGTAAAACGTGAAAGCAATGTTTGTGATTCTGCTCACCTACCGACATACATCACCTAAAAATTCAGCATTATTTCCTGCAGAAATGATCATAGTTAAAGAAGTTAAATTGCTAAGGCAGGTTTCCCTGTGGAAAATCACACCATAAAAATTGTGGTATTCCTGATCTCCATTTATCCTGGAAACATTTTATCATAAAATTAACTATGGGATTATGAATTAGTCTAGTGGCATTGAAAAAACAATATTACAACAATAACATTTTCAATTGCTTTTATAGAAACTTGTTTGCATTTTCTGTCCAGTTCGATTTCAATCATGAAGGTGATTCTAAGTGCTTGGTGTGCAAGAAGTAGATGTATATCTTTGTGGAAGTTATTGTCACTTTATGTAGGCTCAACCTGGCAGGCAATTAGGCCAGCTAGGAATTTGGAAGATTTGTCTCATGATCTGTTCTCTTAAAGTGTCCAAATCCTTCCTCTTCCTTGCTGTGGAATGTAACAACAAAAAACCTAAGGAAATTACTTGATTTCACCTATGGATGGAAGAATGAAGTATACCCTTTCTACCTTTTCTTTTTCCCGAGGCAAAGAGAAAATAGGTAAAACATGAGTAAACATCTGATTGATCATGGTGATCAGAACATAAATTGAAGTCAAAGTAGGAATACCAAATCAGTTAATTGACAATGGTGAATCAATTGAGCCTTCTTTAATTAAGTACAGCTGACAAATTGGAAGAGAATATATAGTAATATCATCAGGAGTGATTTGTTTCCATCTTCAACATATATTAGGCAAAATTGTAATACTTTCAAAATATATAATGTCCGAACATTTGATTTAATGATTAATATATACATATAAAGATTTGAATTTTACTTTTTCCTGATAAAAAAATCAATTAATATAAAATACACTCCATGACAAAAGCCATAACCCGTAAACCTGATTCCATGACTGTTGAGTTCGAAAGCCTGCTGCCATTTCATAATCATTTAATCATTATATTTTTTAAAACTGAGATTAATGGTCCAAGCTAGAAATATATCAATACCCACATCGATCTTTCACCGAGAAACAGGTTGATTTCATCAGTTATTGGAAAATGTTTGTCTTCCATTCTGAACATGGAATTCATTAAATTAGATAAACCGGCCATAGAATATTTTTGAACAGTCAGGGTGTTGATTGACTCCCATCTCAATCACTTTGGCATTTTGTGTATTGAAGCAAAGTGCCAGAAAAATATATTCTAATTCGATGACTTGGACAAGAGAAAGAGAGGGGGAAAAGAGAGAAAGAAAGACGATCATACAACTGAAAAGAAGGAATGTAATTTGAAAATGAAACCACCTTTCTTTGGAAGTATTATCCTCGAGCCCTCAAAAGATACTACAAGGTTCTTCCCCACTATCTTATCTTTGTCCCCTCAAACAAGTGGAGATCGAGGTTGATCGATCAAAAGTGAGTTATCTTTGTCTTCTTATATCATTCTTATGATTAATTTTTTTTTCTTTCTTATTTTCAATTTAGAATTTGACTCTCCTTAGCCAGAAAATCCCATAGAATAGAGAAGCTTCATGTATTAAGCCAAATTCAATCAAATTTACAGCTAAAATCATCTATAAAATCCCATAGGTTGTCATTTTCAATGATCAAATTTCTTCATATCGCCGCCGCATGACCTTGCTTTTTTTATCATTATTTCTTGTAATTTGGTTTAGCCACCTGCTTGCACATGCATATCTATTACTCTATAAAAAATCATAATCATATATAATTAATTAGATTTTTGCTTATGATTTTGTTCGCCTTTTTCTTAATTCAAAACCTAGCAAGTTTTGGTGTGATCTAAAGATTACCATTACCTTCATAGGAGAATGATGTGTGCTGATCTTCAGGTACCTCTTCCCTTCTTTCTTCGGGGCCCAATAAAATGATAACCCCTTTTTTTTTTTTTCACATCTTTAGTTACTTTATAAAAGTTAAAGTTTTAATTAAAGACTGATGTGGGTACAATTTCATTTAAAGCTGAAATTAAAATACATCTCCACATTTTTCATATTGTTTCTGACATTCTAAATAATTTTATTAAAAATGAAACTTGGTTTTATTTTTTTCATGTTTATAGTCTTTGTTTCTCAAAGAACACACTCTGTTATCGATTAATAAAATTATTAATCGTACAGCTCCATAACTGGCAGAAAAGGGTTAACATAAGCTGGATATTTGATAAGGATTAGTGGAAAAAAAAAAAACAACTTGGCAAATGTTGACTTGGGAAATGTTTTCACATTAAATAAAGCAAGTGAGGAATCTTAAGTCCGTCGTTGTTGGATTTGTCTTTTCTTCATCGTCTAAAAATATTTAGATATACGAGAAAGATGGATTTTACAAAATGGATCATCATTATTATTATTATTATTATTATTTTAGAAACGAACTTGCCATGAAGTGAAGATTGAGGAGCTTTTCCTTGCACTCCCCCCCGCCCCAACGTAAAGAAGGCAGATGAACATCTAGTGGCACGTGGCGTTACGCAAAGGTTTTTTTTTTTTTTTTCTTTCTTTTAATCGTGAGGTATTGATATGACAAGGATTATTAGTAGTTTAATTATAGCTTAAGTACATAACGGAAACCAAAGTATCAAGCACGTCCATATAAAAAAATATTGAAAGCTAATTTTTTTTTTCTACGAAGGCAAAGATATTAGTGGTTAAAAAAAAAAAAGTATAAAGGAGCGAAGGTTGCAATTTTACCGGCGGAGTTATTCGTCTTGTACGACTTGAGAGGGTCTTAAATAATGATTTTTAAATTCGATTTCGGTATAGTTTGAGATATTAAATTATTAATAAAAATATTTTTAATTTAAAATATATGTAATGATAATAAAATATTATTTTTATTAAATTTTTAATATTAAAATTATTTTTTTTGAAAATTTTCAAATCTTTTGAGCTCGATGAATCGGGTCGAGCCTCCAGAAGACTAACTATACCTAGCCCTATCTTGTACGACCTATAAACATATATAATTTTAAATATTTAGTTGATCAAATTTTTTCATATTAATTTTATATAGACATGAAATTTTACTTTTTACTATTAGATATTAAAAGATTAAGATAAAAGATGAGATTAGTACCTTAAATTAATTAACACAAATTATTCCTACTCATGGATTTTAAATTAAAAAAAAAACGATCTCACTTAACTAACAATGCTTTTGGTTTTTCTTGTGTCTTTTTTCTTCGATAAACCATAAGGTTTTCAAGTTTCAACCTAAAGACAAAAAAAATTCATGTTAAAATTAGTTTTTGCAGGATATTTGTAGGGTGATTTTAAGAAGGACTATATAGAAATCAATAATTATGGGCTCATTGAAATGGTTTTATAAGTGAACTTTTTTTTTTATAGGAGGGTATAACCCTTACAAGGCCGAAAAGAGATGAAATCTTAGCTCGAAACTCAAACCTTTATTTTTTTATAAAACCTCATTAGTCATTAGACTAAGAGCTCGAAACTTGAACCTCTATTTTCTCATAAAATTTCATTAGTTACTATATTAAGAAGTGAATGATTGATAAAGAACACTTTGAATGTGCATGATTTTAACTTTGATATACAATAAAATAATTGTTTCTTTTAAAAATTTATCATTACATTCGATAAGACAATAATTAGATGCATGCATGTGATAATAATTCATTTAAAATGCATTAGTAACTAAGATAAGTTTCTTTATATTCATATACTAATTGGTAATTACAATAAGCTTTGATCTGATTTTCGTCTGTGTAGACTTTGCACATGAGAGGGACACACGAAAAGAAAGAAAGATGAAAAATATAGTTGGAAATTCTTTGCTTTTGGCCGCCAATGAGGTTGAAGCTGTCATCTAAATCTAAATTAAAGAAGCAAAATTAAATTCTATCTGCTACTTAATTAGAAATTTATAATGCCAAATCAAAGCAACTCCTTTCCTTTACATCACAATTTCTGGCGCAATTTAATACTTTTTCCTAACGGTATCCCAAATTTTGTATAGATTTATTTCTTTTAGATGATTATAAGAACACATTTCTTCATATCAATCTAATACATTTAAAATTGCAATCTCAAAACATTAATACTATTAATTAACTTAACTATATGATTTTTTTGGCTCATAACTATAGGAATTTATGTTTTAGATTGTTTGATAAAGAGCACCGACCCACCTCCCTTTGCAACTTATTTTGGTTAAGGAAAGGATTAATTAGTTTTTATTATTAAAGTCGTATAATCAAGAAAAACTCAAGTTTACTTCACTTCTCACATGCTAGAGTTGACCTTGTCAACTTACTCTAGATATTGTCTTAGCACACACAGTATGTTCTGTCTCTCTTGTGTCATTTTAGTTAAAATAAACAAAGGCTAATTAGAGGAATAACTTAGAAATTAATAACTCTTTCTCTGTCACAAAACCAAAAAAGAAAAGAGGCCTTTTTTTATGAAGAAACCATGTCTCCAAAGATGCTCTCTCTCTTGAGAGAGTGATCATGAATTACATTGGTAGAAGAATTAGCAAAATTGAGGTACTGATTGTGGAGAAATGATTTGTCATCTACTTGGTCTAATATTTGAGGGGTTGGTAGCATTGGCTCTTGCTGCATCTGGATGCACAGAATCTCTGCTTGAGCCACTGCTAGCTGCATTTGAAGCTGAGAAACCTGGTTCTGCAAATATGATATGGCCCCTACACATCCATAAACTGGGTCTCTTATCCTTGCATTTGCTTCATACACCAAACTGCTTACTGCATCTGCCCTTTGCTCAACTGGAAGCTCCTGCTTTCAATATATATATATATATATATATATATACACACACACACACATATAGTTGCTTAGGCTATGAGAAAATTTGAGGATACTCTGACCGTATTATCAGAAAAAAAAAAATCGTGTATAGATAATTTTATGAACCTGCAACATTTTGCCGACATTGCTAGCACCAAAAACCTTGTGAACTATGGCGAACTTGTGGGGATCATCAGAAGGGAAGTATGGAGCAAAGATGCAGTCCTTGGCACAGCGGCGACGTAGCAACTTGCAGGAAGCACATGGCGAATTTCCTCCCATATTTGTAAGTCAAAGTGTTTGTTGGTCTTGCCCAAAAAAGAAGTTTTTGTTGGTAGTGATGAAGAAATTAGAAGGCAAGAAAAGAAACTAAGCTAAAGCTAGAACTGATATGCTAGGAAGGGTATGCGAGTAAAGCACAACCTTAATTTAGACTTGGTAGAGCTGAGAGGGTACGCATATTTATAATAACCAAGGAGCAAGAGTGCCATAGATCAACCAGGTAACTGTCTTTATTTACAAAAATAATTCTATATAATAAATTAATTTTTAATACGATCAAAGGCATGCATCATTCAATTTTGTTTGAGTAATATTTTTGAATGATCTTAAAGATGTATTTTTCCTTAAAGTATAATTAATTAATAGTTTATTCAACATAATAATTGTAAATTAATTATAGTACTAAACAACTAGTATTAAACATAATATCTAAGTTGTTAGAGAAGTCATTGGGAAGGGTATATATTAGAGATAAGCAAATAATTACGGGCAAAATACTCCATATTTTAGCAGTGATATTGATGATAGGGTTAGTTTGATTAGAGGCAATCCTACAGGGGATTTAGTAACATGGTTGGCATATCTCAAGGCCAAAGAGTATTTCTCAACTTTTCTAGATAACAAGGATAGGACTTCATGTGGGTCCAAAATAGAACCATTGGATGAATAATTAACTGTTTTTGTTTTTTAAATGAATTTGGACCTATGCAAGCACTTTAAGAATGGGACAAATAAAGTTTGGAAATTGAGACAACAAGGAGGCCAAAGCAAAAATCCCAAAATCTTTTAAGATAGTTGAGTTTTGGGCTAGCTCAGAAGTTCAATTACAACTAAAAGTCATAAATTTGGTGATTTAAGAAGGAAGTTTTTACCCTACCAATGCAAAATTGGCTTCTCAAACTATCATTATCATATATAATTACCGTTGCTTCTATAATGTGCCAAAAAGGACAGTAGCAGAGGCGCCCACGCAACTCGATCGGCCCCAAAACTGAGTAAAACACAACGGTAGCCGCCAAAGCGTGTATAATAGTTGGGGTATGCCTATATGCAAAAGGGGCATGCCTTCCACGTTCTTCTTTCATCTTCTGTTTTCTTTTTTGGTTCTTTTTCTTTGCTTCTTTATTACTTCAGTAAAATTTTATTAAGAGCCAGGCTCAAGGCCCCAACGAAAAAACAATGGGAAAATAAACACCAGCCGATCGAGACCTTCGGAGGCGAGGCTCAACGTGAATGTTTGGCCCTTTGTTAGCCACACAAACATTCACGTGAACACAAGCAAACACACAAGACACCCCTTTCTTCTCTAGAATCTAGTGTGGTTTTGACCCAAATCATTAATTAGGTCAACAAGAGAGCAAGTGTACGTGTATATTATATACACATGGCTCGACAAATTATGATTAGCATACTCATATTTCTTCAATTTATTAATCGTTTAGTATAATCCTCCCTTATTTAATGCCATTTCTACGTTATGTATATTTAATTACTTTTTCTTTTTTTTTTTTACAAAGTAAGTTACAATACAAAGATGAGAAAAATATTATAAATATTCAAATTTAAATTCAAATTTATTAAATGTCATTTTTTAAAAACGATAAAATATATCAACTAAACTAAACCATAAATTTTTTAATTACTTATTATTTGACATAAAATTATATTATCATTACTTTTTATTGTCTTTAACAAGTCTCTAGGCATGTAAGAAAATTGAATCATAATTTATTATTAAACAAAGACAAATATTCCTTGTATAAATTGATAAAAGTTAGAATCCCCACCCCTTTTCTTGTAAAATACATTTTTTTTTCTCATCCAATAAATTTAAGGTGTGTTGCACAAACTATGATAAGCATATAATAATAATATTATAAATAAAATTATATTAAATAATATCATTATATCTTGAGTTTGATATGTGCAAGGATTATGATTAAATAATTTTATTTATTGGTTAAAATTATCTTTCCTAAAAGTTGTTATAATTTAAATTATTAATATAATTTTTAAGGATATTAATAGGATATATAAGTTCAATCACATGGATTAAAAATAAATCTTGTCCATTTTAGAAGGATTATAATTTAAATTATTAATATAATTTTTAAGGATATTAATAGGATATATAAGTTCAATCTCATGGATTAAAAATAATCTTGTCCATTTTGAAAAGATTGAATCATCTTATATTAATAGGATGATTAATCCTCCTTGTAATTCTATCAATTTCTTTATATACAAATCAAACATGATAGAATGATTATTGTAGACACCCCATTTTGTCCAAAAATATTTTTTTGAAATTGAAAACAAGCTTCAACCATAATTGAGAGATTTTAGGATTTAATTCCAGAATCAATTCACATTAAAATGATATTGTGAGATTTTAGGATTTAATTCCATAATCAATTGGCATTAAAAATGATGGGGAGAGATTTTTGGGATTTAATTTCAGAATCAATTCTCATTAAAATGAAAATCAAATAAAATCATAGATTTAAGGAGAATTGATTGAGCATGAATTCCTATATAAATTTGTGATCAAAACAAAATGAGGTATTTGGAAAAAAAAAAAAAAGATTATGCAAAAACTCTTGAGAGAAAAGAGAAAAATTTGTTTATCAACCAAAAGGTTTTAAGTTCTGGGTTTGGTTAGTTTAAATTTTCTGGAATTGAAATTTGATGTTTTTGGGTTTGAATATCTGTAGGGTTTTACATTCTAGAGATTTCTGAGTTAGTTTTATAGACAATTTATTAGGTTTTTAAACATTCTCTGTTAGTTTTTAGGATTTATTCATCAATTTTTAGAAATCAATTAGAGAGAAGACAGAAAAATAATCATTTTAAAAAGAGAGGCATACTCAAACACTTCTCAAGAAAAGCTTAAATTGGAGACACCCAGATCCACATGTTTTACCACGCACAACCCAACCTGATCATAAGTTTTTTTCATTTTTATTCTTATTTTTATTTTATCATTTTATATTTTAAGTTTTTATTTCATTTTTATAATTTATTATATTTTGTTGATTTTTTTAGCAATTTATTATTTATTAAATATTTTATAAAAATTCTTTTTATTATTTTATTTCTGAAAAATAAAAAAAAATCTTTTAAAATAAATTCATGAATTCCACCAAACTATTGGAGAATTTTCATGGATTTAAAGTTTATGAAACCCACCAAACTATTAAAAAATTTCATAAATCAATTTTAAAATAAAAAATATATTTTATCCTCTAAACTATTGAAAGATTGCTTCAAATTAAGTCTTACCAAACTATTGGGAAACTTAATGAAATTTTCAAAAAAAAATTTAAAAATCTTTTTACAATAAAATCTTATCAAAATATTAAGAGATCTGCTTCAAAGTAAGTCCTACCAAACTATTGAGAGACTTGACTAATTTTTTGAAATAAAATAAATTAATAAATCCGATGATGGAGCCTCTTTAAAGCGAGACCCTAGTCTTCATGAATACTCTTAAGGTGAGAGAGTTATCTTAAATTCCTACCAAACTATTGGGATAATTTTAAGACTAATTTTTATTATTAAATAATTTGGCAAATTATAAATATGATCAAGGCTTGGATAATTTAAAATCAAACTGGTACCATCCTTTGAATGGTGCTGTGGGGGTGTTATAACCTTTCTCACACACAACTGTACTCCTAAACCTAAACTCTTGTTTTGTAGATCAAGATTTACTATTTAAAGATATCTAAGTCAATTTTTGGACTCTTTTTTAAATATGACAGATTCAATCAGGTAGTCAATCACACCTAAACAATAAAGATTGATGATGACTTCTCTAATCTATGTCTAGTGGTAAATCCATAAATCTATATGTTATAACAGTATGGTGACTTTGCTGGAGACATCAAGAGTCAAGTCAATAAATAATTTCTTATTATCTAAGCTTTACCTAATAAATTTGGGTTTTTTTTCTCTTTCTTATTTTTTTTTATTACTTATATTTGTTAGTTATTCATTTATTTATTGTATATATTTGTCATTCATTTGCATATACATAACATAAAGCTCTCCACCCGAGTTCTACCTTTAGGAATGAGTGAAGTACCTATACTGTTATGAGATTTTATGTCTCCGCATGGGCCTACAAAACATTCTCACTTAGATTGAACCATTTTTCACTTCTAACTTATGATAAGTGAGGATCATGATGCTTTACTAATCTGTGATGGACTATGATGTAAGGAATAATTTGAAAACCTTTTAGACGTAATCCAAACCGCATATAATTAACTTTAAGATCCTAACCATAGATAGAGCCATATATTTCCACCCTTTATAATTAACCTAAAATTTAGGGTCATGTTGTTATTTACTTGCTTTGTAATGTTTATTCTTTTTTTATTGAGGTAATTAATCGATTTTCTTATTTTTTTTGTTTTTTTTCTTTTTATACATATTCATAAACATACATGCAGATTAAATATTATGCTTACTAACCTTTTTTTTTTATTGTGTATGTATGCATCCATGCATTACTACATTCATTCTCATGTATAATCTGATAGGTCCATAAACATCATTCTAAATTTGCACTATAATTACAAGAAATCAAGGTTCAATGATAGCTTAACACCAATACTACACTCAGGCTAAGCCAGGAAGATGGAGCAAGATAATACAAACCAGTTTGAGAGGTTAGAAAAGGCCCATGAAGTAATTGAAGGGAAGCTAAGCAAGATATTCGAAGCTTTAGAAAAGATAAACAGAGGGAAAATAGTAGAAGAAGATATCTCACATATAGATACCGAACCACTATATCCTTCAAGTTTCGCTTCACATCTAACTCAAACCATTCCAAGCTTTCAATAACAACAGACCACGTTCTCAAATTATAATCAAGGGAATGTTCAGAGCTATACCAACTCGATCTTTGTTGAAAAGGTAGATGAGTCCATCCATATTTTTAAAATGGATGAGACTAAAAAAGAAGTGAAGTTGTAGATGGCTATGTCCTTAAAAGACTCTAAGATCGATCAAGCTATAAGTATGATTGAGAAAAGATTACAAGTTGTAAAAGGTATTAATTTCTATGAATCCATGGATGCCACCAACCTTTGTTTGGTTTCAAATGTTTTAATTTTTTTAAAATTTAAAGAACCAGAATTTGAAAAACTGTTCATGCACATGTTTCAAGATAG